GTAGGCTGAGTACATTCTCTTCCTGTAGTTCAGCCTTGGTTGCTGTTGGCAGGTCAATGAGAGGGATTTACCCAGGTTAGCTGTAAGGATTGGCTATGACCACTTACCACCAGCCTCCCTGCTCCATGGAGGATCAGCTGTGCAGGGGCAGGATGGTTGGGCTCCAACATGGCCTGTGGCTGTCCACTGGGTGTGCTGGCCCTGGGGTTTTCCACATGGTGCAGGTCAAGGTCAGACCTGACCTGTGTTCTGCACAGGACAACCCTGTCTGGACTAAAATGCAGTCTGAGATGGCTTCTACTTGTGCTGGGCTTGGAGATTTCCAGGTGAAGCCAAGCTGTGAATCTAGGCCGGTTGCTGCTACTGCTGTACCTGTGGCCACTCAGCAAGAGTTTACAGGGGCTCAGGGCTCACTGAGGCTGACTGTTGCTTGTTTGAGAGGATTTAGAAAGTTGTGAAGCATAAGCCAAGACCAGCCATTCATCTGGAAAAGCATCTTGGGTGGGCCTGTATATTGGTGGGGATAAAGTCTCTGGGGAGCACCAGGGCAGGGCAAACAGTGTTCGCCAGACTGATGGATTCTCAGATATGGCACCAGCCTGTTGGCTCTTTTGGTGGAGGGTTCAGAGAAAAGGCAACGTCCCCTGCCTTTCTTTCCCCCAGCTCTTAAGACGTCTTGATGCCAGACTTCAGTTTCTCCCTGTATGCCACCGGTGCCTTTCAAGCTTCTACCCGGTGCTAGAACTCAGCGGGAGTGAGTTTGAGTAAGTCCATGTGTGGGTTCTTCAAGAGGAACTGTATGGGACCACAGCAGTTTCTCTTACCAGCTCTATCCCCGCTTTTTTGCAGCCAGAAGTCATGGGGACTTATCTTCCTGGCACTCGGACCCTGGTCTTGGGGGCCTGGAATGGGCCTCTGCCTTCTCTCTTCTGAGGTATCCCTCCTAAAATTTTATCCACCACATGTGAATGTGGGGACAGCCCCTTCCATGCCTCCGCCTCTCCTACCAATCTAGATGGATGTAGTTTCTTTAATTCTGTAGTTGTCAGGGTTCTATTCAACTTGATTTCTGATGATTCTGAGTGATGGTTGTTCTATATTTTAGTTGTAATTCTGATGTGGTTGTGCGAGGAGGTGAGTCATGTTTATCTATGCTGCCATCTTGACTGGAAGTTCTCTATTCTCTACTTTGTTGATCTCTGTCCTAAGTTTTTCCTTTCTTCTGCCAGCTTTGGGTTTAGTCCTTTTTTTTTTTAAGTCCTTAAGTTACAGTTAGGTTGATTTGACATCTTTCTTTTTAATGGAAGCATTTATAGGTACATATTGCCTTCCTTATCGCTGCTTTGCTATGTCCCATAAGATTTGATGTTATTTTTTCATTCATCTCTAAGTAATTTCTAATTTCTCTTGTGATTTGATTAACTTGCTAACAGTGTGTTAATTTCCACAATTTTGTGAATTTTCCAGTCTTATATTTGCTATTGATTTCTAAATTCAACCTATTGTGATCAGGGAAGATATTTTTATGATATTTACATTTTAAAACCTAGTGAGACGATTTGTTACCTGTGGTTTAATCTGAAAAACACTCTCATGTGCTAATGAGAATGCATAAAAGGTGGGGCCAAAGTAGGTTTATAGTTGTGAGTACATGAAAGTTTATTCTTGTATCATTATTTATTAATTATTGCATTATTTTCCATACAAACTGTAAATCTATTTTTGTCCCACTTTGTACCTTGCTGTTGTTGTATAGGGTGTTCTGTATTTGTCTGTTAGGTCTAGCTGACTTATTGTGTATTTAAGTCTTCTATTTCTTTACTTATAATCTGTCTGATTGTTATATCCACCATTGTGAGTGGGGTATTAAAATCACCAACTATTACTGTGAAACTTTCTCTCTTTAATTCTGTCAGTTTTTGCTTCATATGTTGAGTGATCTGTCTTTATTTACATAAATGTTTGAAATTTTTATCTTCTTGCTATACTGAACCTTTTATTACTATATAATGTCCTTGCTGCATGTAATCTTTTTTGATTTAAAATCTATAGTCTGATATTGGTATAGCCATTCCTGCTCTCTTCTGGTTATTATTTGCATGGAACTAGAAATGGAGCCTGAGGACAAGAGAGAATTGTTGCAATCTCATGATGAAACTTGAATGGATGAGAAGCTGCTTCTTATAAATGAGCAAAGTAGTTTCTTGAGAAGGAATTTACTGCTGTTGAAGAGGCTGTGAAGATTGTTGAGATGACAACACAGGATTTAAAATATACATAAACTTAGTTGATAAAGCAGCAGTTCACTTCAATTTTGAAAGATGTGCTGTGGGTAAAATACTATTAAACAACATTGTATATTGTAAGAGAAATCATTCATGAGTCAATCAATGTGGGAGACATCACTGTTGTCTTATTTGAAGAAATTGCCACAGACAACCCAGCCTTCGACAACCAGCACCCTGATCAGTAAGCAATCATCACATCTAGGTAAGACCCTTCACTGTTCAGTTATGACTTGTTGAAAGCTCAGATGACGGTTAGCATTTTTTAGCAATAAAGTATTTTTCAAAAAGATTTTATTTATTTTTAGGGAGAGGGGAATGGAGTGAGAAAGACGGAGAGAAACGTCACTGGGCTGCCTCTCACCAACCAGGGTATGTCTTTGTATGTTTACAAAGTATGTCTCTGGTAAACATTTGCAAACATTTCTATTGAGTATATATATCTAAGGATGAGACTACCAGGTTTTAAGTTATGTGTATGTCAAGCTTTAGGAGACACTATAAAAAGTTTACCAATGTGGAGGTACCAATTTATACTCCTATCAGTATTATGAGTTTCAGTCACTCCACATACTTGCCAACCTTTAATATTTTTTTTTTCATTTTAGTTATTTTGGTGTGTGGGTGGTAATCTATGACACTGTGGTTTTAACTTGCATATGATTAACTGATCACCATCTCATGTTTACTATGTGGATATCATCTTTTGTTAAGTGTTCAAGTCTTGCTCATTTTTCTATTGGGTTGCCTGTGCTAACCTTTTTAATGCCTACTGGATGTGCAGTGATACTCCCATTTTGATTCTTAATATTACTTATGTTTTTTTAATTTTCTTTCCTGGACCCACTTTCTTATTAACATTTTATAGCATTTTCAAAGAAAACATTTTTGGTTTTGTTGATCCTCTCCACCACAATTTTGTTTTCTATTTCTTTTATTTCTACCTTCTTTGAGTTTAACTGACTGGTCTCTTACTAATTTCTCAAGATCTTAGATTTTCAACATTTCTTTCTTAATATTTGACATCCAACATTCTTTCCGAATATTTAAGGCTTTTCCATTACCAAGGCTGCTAGATTCTCCAAATTTATTTACTTGACAATTTCATTACCATTTAGTTCAAAACATTTATTATCTTAGGCTGATTTATTTTTTGACCCATTCAGAAGTATAATGGTTAATTTGCAAATATATTGAAATTTTCTAATGATCTTTTCATTACTGATTTCTATTTCAATTTCACTGTAGACAGAGAATATTTGTTTTCAATCATTTGAATTCTGTGGGTTAGTATAGGATTAGTTTTGGTAATGATTTTATGTACACTTCAAATAAATGTGTGAATTTCGCAGATGTAGAGTGTAGTGTTCTACACATGTCAGGTAGTTTTATATTTGTGTTGTTCTATATTCTTAGTGATTTTTTTATTACTTCCTGACTAATGTGTTAAGTTCTCCTACTAAGATTGTGGAATTATTTTTTTCCTGTTCAGTTGTAAGTTTGTGTTTATACATTTTGAAACTGTGCTACTAAATGTAAACAAATGTCTACCTCCTCCTGATAGAGTGAAACTTTTTTTATGAAATCTCTTTTATATCTCCATTAATATCACTTGCTTTAAACTATACTTTGATAGCAAAATAAGCCAGGTTACCTCTGACTGAGTTTTCCATGGTACATCTTTTTTCTATTCTCTTACTTTTGGCCTTTATTTAAGGTATGTCTTATGAAAGCAACATATAGTTGCGGGGTTTCATAATACACATCCCAAAATATGGTACCTTGGCATTTTAAGATAAAGGAATTTGAAAAATGGCATGTGTAGGTAGAACTCTGACCTTCCCAAGAAGTAGGTCCTGAGTGAGAGATACCCTGCTATGTATACCTAGAGAGAAGTAGCATCTTATCTCTGAAGGTGGAGCAATACTGAGAGGAATTTGAATGAGCAGGACTAAGTTTCCCAGAGTTTACTACTCTTAGCTCATATCCTATAGTTCTATCACGTTTTCCCGTGACTTGCTACTCTTCATCAAACCTAGTATAAAAATGTTTAGATTTAACTATTTCTTTGGGTCTTTAAATCCTTATAAAGGCTTCAATGTCATGGAAAAATTAAATTAAATAAATTGATATGCTTTTGGCTTGTTAATCTATCTTTTGTTACAGAGACTCAGCTTAGAACCTAGAAGAGCAGAAAGAAAATATTTTCCCCCTTTTCTACAGAAGCAACATATAATTGCTTTTTTTTCATCCTGGTAATCTTTGGGTTCATTTACGAGTACACCATATTACTATCTGTATTATTGTTGTTTCATCTGTTCTGTTTTTTTTATTTGCTATTTTCTTTCTTCTTTTAGTTTTTTAAAAATCTTGTTTCTTGCCCTGTAATAGGGAAGTAGTTATATATCATTTTATGCTCTTAATGGTTACTCAGAGCTGTACTGCTCCATTCAGTAGGTACTAGCCAAATGTGCCTATTTAAACTTAAAATTATAATACATATTATTTTACTCTTAAGTACATTAATGTTGGTGCTAAGGATAGTTAATATCGCAGAGTGCTTATTCTCACAACAACCCTAAGAGGTGGGTATATTATTTAATTTCTCCATTTCACAGATAAAGGAACTGAGATGTAGGGTTAAGTAAATTACCTAATTTAATAAGTGAAAGAGACTGAATCTCTACTTAGAGCCTATTTCTTATTTACACTTACATGATATTTTCCATGGATTTGGGTTTAATAAAAATGGAGACTGGGTAAAGTTGTGCAATCTGTAATCTCTTTATGGCATTTCCAGACACATCGAGGATACAGTGTTTGCCCTAAAATAGAGGGAACAAAGAAAAAAAAATACAAAACAAGTGAAGCAAATATTTTCAATTATATCAAAGGTACATTTTCTACAGGTACAAAATCTGAATTATGATGTTTGGATCCTGTTCACTTTAAGCAAGCTTGTCATTTCTGTTGCAAATTTCAGAGGGAAAATGAAATAAAGACAATAAGTAATGACTCTGAATAATTAACTTTCCATTCTCAAATATATTTAAAAAGGAATGAAAATATAGTTCCCTTATGCTTAGCTTTTATAGAACAGTAATTTCCCCAAATGGCAACCAGTTTGGGATTCCTATCTTTTATTTTGTTGAGGAAGGGCATTAAAAAAAAAAATCCTAAGCTACCATACCATATTGTACCATAACTATCATCTCATAAAAGAATATATGATCAATAAGAAGGTAAAAAGCCTAACCCAGAGGGGCACTTTATAAATTAAACGAAGAATCTATCAAGAAGACATAAACATTGTAAACTTATATGCTCCCAATAGAGGAGTCCCCAAGTTTATAAGGAAATTGTTGGACGACTTCAAAAAAGATATAGACAGCAACACACTGATAGTAGGGGATTTCAACACCCCACTCTCAAAAATGGACAGATCTTCCAAACAAAACATTAATAAACATATTGTTGCGTTGAATGATAACCTGAATCTAAGAGACTTAACTGACATATATAGAACCTTATATCCCAAAGAAGAAAAATACACATTCTTTTCAAATGCTCATGGCAGTTTTTCAAAGATAGACCACATGATAGGACACAAAGCAAACCTCAGCAAATTCAGGAAAATTGAAATAATACCAAACTTTTTCTCGGACCACAGGGCCTTGAAACTGGAAATCAACCTCAAAGAGAAACTTCAAAAACTTATAAACTCATGGAGACTAAACAGTAGACTATTAAACAATGAATGGGTTAATAATGAGATAAGACAAGAAATCAAAAAATTTCTGGAAACAAATGAAAACGAACAGACAACAGTCCAAAACCTATGGGACACCGCAAAGGCAGTCCTGAGAGGGAAGTTCATAGCAATACAGGCTTACCTAAAAAAGATAGAGACATTTCAAATAAAAGACCAAACAGTACAACTTCAAGAATTAGAGAAACAACAACAAATAAATCCCAGAGCAATTAGAAGGAAGGAAATAGTCAAGATGAGAGCAGAACTGAATGACATAGAGACGAAAAGAACAATTCAGAGGATCAACCAATCCAGAAGCTGGTTCTTTGAAAAGATAAATAAAATTGACAAGCCTTTAAGCAGACTAATCAAGAAAAAAAAGGAGAGGGCCCAAATTAATAATATCAGAAATGAAAGAGGAGAAATAACAACTGATACCACAGAAATACAAAGGATCGTCAGAAACTACTACGGACAATTATATGCCAAGAAATTTGAAAATCTTGATGAAATGGACAAATTTTTAGAAAAGTATAAACTTCCAACACTGAAGGAGGAAGTACCAGAAAGCTTGAACAGACCAATAACAGCTGGGGAAATTGAAGCAGTAATCAAGAAACTCCCGGCACACAAAAGCCCAGGGCTGGATGGTTTCCCAGGAGAATTTTACAAAACCTTTAAAGAAGAGCTAACCCCTGTCCTTCTGAGACTATTCCAAAAAATCCAAGAGGAGGGAAGACTCCCAGACTCTTTCCATGAGGCCAGCATCACCCTGATCCCAAAACCAGATAAAGACCCTACAAAGAAAGAAAACTACAGGCCAATTTTGCTGATGAACATAGATGCTAAAATCCTCAACAAAATATTGGCAAACCGCATCCAGCAATACATTAGAAAGATTATCCACCACGATCAAGTGGGATTCATCCCAGGCATGCAGGGATGGTTCAATATGTGCAAATCAGTAAATGTGACACATCACATAAATAAAAGACAACACAAAAACCACATGATCATCTTGATAGATGGAGAAAAAGCATTCGATAAGGTACAGCACCCATTTATGATCAAAACACTCAGCAAAATGGGAATAAATGGGGCATTCTTCAACATAATAAAGGCCATATATGAAAAACCTACAGCCAATATCATACTCAACGGGCAAAAACTGAAAGCTTTCCCACTAAGATCAGGAACACAACAAGGATGTCGACTTACACCGTTTCTTTTCAGCATCGTATTGGAAGTCCCAGGCACAGCGGTCAGACAAGAGAAAGAGAGAAAAGGCATCCAAATAGGAAAGGAGGAAGTAAAGCTATCATTGTTATCATTGTACACTATCATTGATGTAGCATTGTACATCAATGATAGTGTACATAGAGAACCCTGTAGACTCTACCATAAAACTCCTCAACCTAATAAGTGAACTTGGAAAAACAGCAGGATACAAAGTCAATATTCAGAAATCAAAGGCATTTTTGTACACCAGCAATGAAAGAGAAGAAGAAATCAGAAAATAAAATACCATTCGATATAGCAACAAGAAAAATAAAGTACCTAGGAATAAATTTAACCAAAGACGTAAAACACCTGTACACAGAAAACTATACAACACTGAAGAAAGAAATTAAGGAAGACACAAATAAATGGAAGCATATACCGTGCTCATGGATTGGAAGAATTAATATCATCAAAATGTCCATCCTACCCAAAGCAATTTATAGATTCAATGCAATCCCTATTAAGATACCAATGACATATTTCACAGAAAGAGAACAGACATTTCAAAAATTTATATGGAACCATAAACGACCCAGAATAGCCTCAGCAATTTTGAGAAAGAAAAACAAAGTAGGAGGGATCACAATACCAGACATCAAACTCTACTACAAAGCCACTATACTCAAAACAATCTGGTACTGGCACAAGAACAGACCCATACACCAGTGGAACAGAAGAGAAAGCCCAGAAATAAGCCCAGGTCTCTATGGGCATCTAATATTTGACAAAGGGGGCAGAAGCATAAAATGGAGCAATAACAGCCTCTTCAACAAATGGTGCTGGGAGAGCTGGACGGCTACATGCAAAAAATTGAAATTGGATCATCAGCTGACACCATACACAAAAAAAAACTCAAGATGGATAAAAGACTTAAATATAAGTCGCAACACCATAAAAGTCCTAGAGGAGAACATTGGCAGGAAACTCTCAGATATCCCACGCAGCAATTTTTTCACTGATATCTCCTAAAGCAAGGGACATAAAGGAAAGAGTAAACAAGTGGGACCTCATCAAAATAAGAAGCTTCTGCACGGCGAAAGAAAACATCAGCATAATGAAAAGGGAGCCAACCGTAAGGGAAAATATATTCACTAATGATACATCAGATAGAGGTTTGATCTCCAAGATATATAAAGCACTTACTCGATTCCACTCCAAGAAGACAAACGATTCAATCAAAAAATGGGCAAAGGACCTGGGCAGACGCTTTTCCAAGGAGGAGATACAGAGGGCCCAGAGGCATTTGAAAGGATGCTAGGCATCACTAGCCATCAGAGAAATGCAGATCAAAACCACCATGAAGTGCCACCTCACAGCAGTCAGAATGGCCATCATAAACAGATCAACAAACAACAGGTGCTGGCGAGGCTGTGGAGAAAGGGAACCCTAGTCCACTGTTGGTGGGAATGCAGACTGGTGCAGCCACTATGGAAAGCAGTGTGGAATTTCCTCAAAAAGCTGTAAATGGAACTGCCTTTTGATCCTGAAAGGATCAAACACTGAAAGGGAAAGAAGTCAACAGAGAGAAGAGAGAAGGAGGGAGGGGGTGGGGGGGGAAAGGAAGGGAAGGGGAAAGTCAAGGAACATATAGCAAGGCCTCATGGACAAAACCAAAGGGGAAGAGCTGAGGGAGGGAAGGAGGGAGGGGGCAAGGGAAAGTGGTGCGGGGTAGGCAGAGACAAATGTGTTTGAAAAAATAAATTAAAAAAAAAGTAAAAAAACCCCAAAAAACTGAATTTTAGTTGTAAAAAAAAAAAAGCCTAGAATAAAGATCTTTTAAAAGGAATAAATTTATAAAACCTCACTACCAATACTCTATTCTATTTCTTATTTTATTGGGAAACTGGCAAAAACTTTATCATAGACACACATTTGGGAAACCCAGTTCTGGATTCAAGGCACTTTCTTGACATGCTTAAACACACTGACAAAGGCTATTTACGTTTCTAATGACAATGAACATTTCCATGTTATAAATAAGATAGTGCTTATAATGTATCGAACAGATTTTTTTGGATAACATTTAAAATCAGGTACTGCTCCATAATGCATTTTGTAATCTAAGGGCTTGAGTCCACTTCAATGAATGATTATTTCACTTTAGAAGAATATTTGAAAGAAAAAATTTAATACTATATAAGTATTTTAATTACATAAAAAAGAAACTAATAGACACACATATACCCATATCTACATTGATCAGATATTAATATTCTACCTGATTGCTTAGAAGTTAAAAAAAGCTTTACACTAAAACATTAGCATTCTATCGGGTTTGCTATATATATAAAGTTTGAGAGCAAACTACAGACATACATCTTTACCCCCTATTTCCTAAAAACAATTACATCTCTTAAATAACCACACTATAATTTCAGTTGCCTATCTAATGTCCTTTACTGCAAAGAATAAAAATATTTCTTGGTCCAGGATCACACATTACATATAGTTGTAAATCTCTTTAGTCTCTGTCAATGTGTCAAGTTTTTTAGTTTTTGTCTTTCATTATATTGATATTTTTAGAGAATTAGAGGACATTTTTTTCATAGAATATGCCTCAACTTAGGTTTGTCTGATGTTTCCCATCAAATGGCAGGTTACACATTTTGGCAGGAATATCACAGAAATGTTGTATTCTCAATCCAGCATACCAGGAGGCATATGATATGTATTTGCCTCATTACTGGGAAAGTTAATTCTGATCACTTGTTTAAGGTTTTGTCTGCCAGGTTTCTCCACTGTAAGATTACTATTTTCCCCTTTGTAACTGGTAGGTATTTGGGGGGAAGATATTTTGAAATTATGTAAATATCTAGTTTCTCATCAGATGTTAATTCATTCACTCATTAATTTAGCATACACTGATGATTGCGGCCTGAAACATTACCACAGTTGTGATTAAGAGAGATTTCATCATTTCATTACTATTTCTACCCTTGTTAGTAGATATTCTAATGTAAGGCAAAGCTTTCCCTTCTACCCTTTTATTTATTTATACCATTAAGGACTTCTAGATTCTTGCTTTATTCTCTATGTTATAATTAGTTAGAATCATCATTTACTTTAGTATTCAAATTATCCACATGTGGTCTCTGAGGGACCTTACAGGTTGGCTTCTGTGTCTTTTTGATACATCCTCATTATTTTTAAAGCACTACCTTATTTTTCCAGCACAGAAAATGTTCTAGACTCATCTTGTACTTTCCTGATATCAGGCCTGGAATCAACCATTTCTTCAAGGAATTATGGATTTTTTTTTTTTTTATAAAGATCAAAGTGCCTAGATCTTTAAAGCCAAGATCTAGGCACTAGATATTCTCCTTGTTTATTAAAGAATCATTATTTTTAGAGGACAGTGTAAGGAAACACAGATATGTAAATACACACACATCCCTATTTCTACATCTCTCCATATTAGGATGCACAGGTTTATATTCCTATCTCTAATTCCAATTCGATTACTACAAAGTTCATTCTACCCTCTCCCCTTTCCATATTTCTAAAATCACTTCTCTAACAATAAGAAATCTGACTCTCATTATTGTCAATATATTAATTTGCTCAACTCTAGAGTATATATTAGTTTCACAACTGTTAGCTAATTCCACTCTGAAAAACAACGCTACTAATTATTTGTTTACAGATCTTTTTGTATTTAGCCGTGGTTCAGGATTATTGGGATTAAGACACTCCTCCCTTCCTTTCCCCTCTTTAATGCAGTTATTTGAAATCTAGTTTATTTAGTTCCTGTTTGTGTATCATTTTGCATTTCCATCATCTTCCCTTGTTTTTATCTTTTGAATATATAAAATGTTAACAGAGTTCTAAAAGTCAAAGTTAAAATTTTCTAATAATTTAAAGCTTTTATTGCATTGTGATCTGAGTATTAATTGTAATATTTCTACCTTGTGGAACTTCCAGGTATTTTCTTCTCCACAAGGTTTGTACAAGACATAGCTTGCTGTGATTTCTTAGTTACTTTTCAATTTACCAGTAATTTGAAATTTGGCTATTATCTGTCTTTCAGTTAGGCTGAGGGTGTGATTTTTGAATTTTTAATATGTTTAAAAGAAAAACATTACAAGTAAAACTCAGGCTACAATTTCCTTTTCTCTCTTCCCAAAGGAAAACACTGGATATTGGTTGTATATACTCCTAAAGAGGATGTATCATTCCCATGCATGTTTTTATGTTTCTAAATATGTATCCATAAACTATATAGGCTGCTTTTTGTTTAAGTTTACATAAATAGTATCACACTGCATATATCCTTTCCACCTTCATTCATTTATTATAATTTTGAGATTTATTAATGTGGATATACCTAACTAGTACTATATTAGTTTATTTATTCTAGCTGCTATCTCCCACTGCATGAATAAATAACAGTTAATTATCCATTTTCCTTTCTTGGTTCCATTTTTTTTACTAAGTGGTAGTATGAATAGCTGTATACAAGATCCTCATGTATGAATCTCTACCAAGATACCAAGAAGTAGAATTTCTGAGTCATAAGATATGTGCATTTAGTAGGTATTGCCAAACTGTTCCCAGTTCTATTAATTTCTATTTTCACTAACAATATCTAAGATTTCCTATTTCCTCAAATTCTTGCCATCACTAAAATTTCAGAATCAGAATTAACCAAAACCTTTATACAAAAAGTAGCATTTGCAGATGGAAAACTGAGAAGATGAATTATTGTTTTTGTTTGTAGGTATATTGTTATGACTGAAGAACTAGTTTTGAAGGTATAAAGTAACCTGCTGATGCTTATTTTCTAGGCCCAAGGAGTGACTAAAGAATAGTACAATGTCTGGGACACACTCTGGCTTCACCTTAAAAGTGCTTTAATTGAATGTCAATATTATCTTCATATCACCCTGAAGGATGCTTTCAGAAAATCTGTTGCTCTTACAGTATTGTTGGGTAGTTTTTACATTGTCTTTTATTAAATGACTGTTCAGAAGAAATTTCTGTCTAGTCTCAGTAATAGCAGCAACTACACTTATTTTGGGCATGTGGTTCATTTTTACTGGACACTGCTGATCACTGCTCAATTATGCTGGATGTTGGAAACACAATCCCTATCTCTACCAAATGTAGGACCTTAAAATATTAACCTCCATTTTTAGAAAGATTTGTGTTATCATTTCTACCTCATTTTGTCAGTCTTCTTTATTTTGTATGTATTTTCCCAAGCCACTGAAAATTAAATATTTAGTTGAATGAATTCATACCATTAATTAATCAATGCTGCAACATCTATATTTTTTAAAAAATATGAATTAAAAATTTCTATTCCATCTTTTTTTCATACTGTCAAAGGCATATCTAATTAAAAACTGTATTCTGGGATCAGTTTGATGTTTACCTTTTCTGCTACTTCTCGTACAGACTGAACACTTGTTCCATACAGATGATTGTTATATTGGCCAGCTTCAATGAATTTATGTTCCTGTATATCTTTTTCCATCTGCTCTCTTGAAGTCACAAAATGATAATCTCTTCCATCAACTTCATAATCTCTTTTTGGTCTAGTTGTATCTTTAATAGAAAGAACTTAAAGTGTTTAGTATTAAAAATGCAACATATCCATTTTCTACTTAAAAAATTCTTTTATAAAGTTCAACAAAACAGATTAATTTAAATTTGATAAAAGACAAGCACATGGAGGAATAACTAATAAAATAACTATATAAATCATTACACATGATAATGTTTATCTTCAACAAACGCAGTGACAAAATGTTAAGAACAGTAATTAAGAATTTTTACGTGGGTTACTCACGAGGAACACACGATCCAAATTTGTCAGGAAATTCTGAGATCAAGTCATCATTTATCCTGTCTTTCATAGGTCCCAATATGATCACTGGTCGAGTGTAATTAACTATAAAGATAAACTCTGTGTTAAAAGGAACACACTGAACAAACATCAATGTATTTTATTTCACCAGAGAACAAAAGTATCCTTAACAGCTATGAAGAATTTTTTCCCCCCCTTTCTCCACCAATGATGCCTAACTTGCTAGTTTATAAGCCTTCATTAAGATCTTAAGTTTAAGTCAAGCTCCTTTTAAAAGTCATAGAATTGATAATTCAACCAACTTAAATCCAGTATTTTAGCAGATAATGTTTCTTTACATTGCTACCATCATCTCTTTACAAATGAGAAAACACAGTACAGTGTTTTACCGATTATTTTTGAAGTAGAAATTGTAAGGAAGCAAATCAAAAAAGGACAAAAGAAGTAGGGATCATGCTGGAAGAGAAATTGGTAGTGAGAGAATTAACATTGTGGTAGAAGGAATGACAAGGAGGTGATAAATAGAAAATAAATAGTTCCTAGGAACTGACTGGACAAAGTGGATAAGGAACAAAGAAAGATCAAAGACGCTTCCAAGATTTTGACCAAGGGTCAGTGGGAGGATTGTAATACTTTTATGAACACTGGAGAGAAGTTACTTGGGAAATAAAATGCCAATACAAACAAAATCACTAGATTCTAATATACTCTGGGCTAAAAACTGTATTTCATAAAATACATACAGTAAAATTCTACTTTTATACATATAGTAAAAAAGTATAGTAAAACTTTTTTGAGATATGTGTTAGACCTATTTCCCAAATTAAGAAGTATATATTTCTAGAAGATTGTAAAACATCAACAGGCTTCACAAACCTTCTTGTTGATTCACTGGTTCATATGACAAGACATATTCTTCTTGACCACCTATTAGAAAGTTAAAGTACAGATAAAAAATCTATAAAGATAACTTATGCTAATTTAATTCTTCATATATAACATATAAATTGCTAGGATTTTCCTGAGGAAATTGCAAAGATGTAAAAAAAGATACTTTATAAATAGTTTCTGGCAAGTTTTAGTAAAAAATAGTGGCACATCACAAAGTTATAAAGTTTGAAAAATGTAAAAAAATATAAATATGCTGTTTATTTAATAACTAGCTTTCTGTTACTGTGTTTACAGATTATCATTAAACCTATTTAAAATCTTCACTTGTGATGTCATGTACATGCTATTAATCTAACAACTATTATCTCTTTTAAAGACTGATACCTTTAACGAGCAGTTCTACATATGTGCATATTAAGGAGCTTATATTAAGAATATGCAGCTTTTTTAGTCTGCCAGATATAATATTTAACAGAATCCGTATACATTTTTATAATTACAATTACTTCACAATAAAAAAATTTAATGTAAAGCTGAAAATACTGTCACTATTTCACTGTTTTGTAAAAACTCATTCTAATAATTCATTTATTCAATTTTTAAAAAATTATTTAAAATAAGTTATAAAAAAGCTTTAGATAAAACCTAAGTCCTTTCCTGCAAACAAAATGAATCACATAAACAGTAAAGGAGATAATATATTTTGCTTTGATCTTAAAAGCACTTTAGAAGTTAAATCCTCTAACATTAAAGGTTTAAAGCTTAAGCATATCTTAAATAAAAAAGTTTAGAAATCATATTTTGACTCAATGAAAAAACTAAAAGAGAGTTCACAATTTCAGGGATTCTGAACACACACACACACACACACACACAAATGTATAGAAAACAAATAGGAAGGGCTGTTAATTCAAGTGGTTTAATGAAAACAATCAATATTAGATAATGTATTTGAAGGTTTTTCTCTTTCATTAGCAAGATTCTTTAACAACCTTTCCACTAAATTTGTCAATGGTTTATATTGTATGCAGCTATAGATCTTTTAAATTCATATATTGGCACGAATATTTTTTCCTGCTTTAAAAGTGTATTTTGTTTTTTCAAGTTTATTATCATAATATGTAAAACACATATTTATAAGCACCTTTTAAAAGTTCTGTATATAATAATGGTTTACCTATTAGCAAAAACATGCATCTTGAATTATTCCACACCTAACAATTCATGCAAATGATGAGACAGACAGTATATACTTTCATTACCTCTTTTTAGTCTAAAAAGCTACTCAACTACTCTATGGTGAGTTCTGACTATAATAAAGCACTAAAATATCACATTCCCATGCCAAAAAAAGGTAAAATTATTAAGTAACTATTATGCAAAACAAAAATAACCAATCAAATGAATGAGGGTTAAAAGTATATATTGTCAACACAAGAAATATAGGAACGGATTTTAATAGGATGGACCTTTTGAGCAGCCATACTCATCTGTAATCAAGATTACTTTCATATTAGACAGCAGTAAAAAAAAAAAAAAAGTTAGAAAAGAAGTTTTAATTTTTAAGGTCCTAGAATTGACAATATTCATCTACTCTCCCCTCCTCCCATGCCCTAATCTGTTTAAAAACTTCATATGCTGGTATAATTTGCTTAATAATATATAGTTTACCCTTGAAGAACTTGGGGGTTACGGATGCTAAGTACCCATGCAGTTGCAAATATGCATATAACTTTTGACTCCCCAAAAACTTAACTCCTAATAGCTTACTGTTGTATGGAAGCCTTACCGATACCATAAAGAGTTGATTACACATATTTTGTGTGTTATGTGTATTATATACTGTATTCTTACAGTAAAGTAAGCTAGAGAAAGAAAATGTTATTACCATAATACCAAGAATGTAAAACAAGACACAAAAAATAAAAATCAATATTATGGTCTGAGCAACTGTTGAAAATTTTTCCATCATCGTTTCTTATAGTCACCAAAGGCTAGTGATAAACAATAACTTGACCCAGACCAGTACTGGTGACATACAATAAAAGGAAATAAAGCCAATTATTATTTAACATTACAGAAAAATTTTTAATGCTCATGTTAAAACAAAATAGAAGTACTAAAGTAAATGGCAAAATATAAGTATACCCCTCATTTAACTAGATATTTACTTCTTTTAAAGATACACCCACACACATATGTGCTATGTTCACAAATAGCACTGTTTATAAAAAAGATTTTAGCATTTTATTAAAATTTTGTAAAGTAAGTTCTCTACATATGTTATTTTATTTTTCAAGTTTTCTGAATTTACTTGGCTCTCCTTGATTTTAAAAGATTAAGTATCTAATTATCAGTTTTTAGAACACATTATGAAGAGGAAAAAACCCCCAAAGAACATACATTACTTGAGATTACAAAAGAACAAGTAACTTAAAACACTTACGGTAACTACTTTCACTATCGCTGGCATTAGAAGTTACATGCTCTGAAATTGTAGGACAATGAAAAAAAGTGTCATGAGTTTTAAAAAAGCAAATTATCAAAATAAACATAAGGTGATATTACAAAATGTTGAGCTATAAACCACACATATCCAACGAATATTTAAAAAGCATTCTTGATTTTCTCAGAAAAGTTTAATTTTTTCAAATAAGTATGAATTAGCTAGGAAAAAAACCCCTTAATTAGGGACAATGCCCCATTTTCGTACAATGCAGTTTATGAAGAGGTCAAAAGTGATACTTAATTAGTCCAACTGTAGACATAAAATGCTGAGACAAAATGGTACCATTTAATTTGGTTTATGAAACAATCACTGAGAAAGGAGACAAGTTATATTTGAGCAAAGAGATGCCCATTTTAATGAAGGGATGTCTTAAATAATAAATAAATGATGTTGCTTTTAGTTCAGCTTTCTTTCTTGTTCCTGGAAAAAATGAAAATTCAAGTTCCTGAGATCATGCGGATAAAGCATTTTATTTAAATTTTTTTAAAAAGCCTATTTCTTTTTTTTTCTTTCGAAGATTTTATTTATTTATTTATTTTAGAAAGAGGGGATGGGGGAGGAAGAGAAACATCAATGTGCAGTTGCCTCTCGTGCGCCCCCTACTGGGGACCAGATCTGGCCGGCAACCCAGGCATGTGCCTTGACTGGGAATTGAACTGGCAATCCTTCCGTTCACAGGCCAGTGCTCAATCCACTGAGCCAAACCCGTCATGGCAGAAAAGCATTTTAGATATCATAGATTCAGATGCCTCAATAAATGTCACATGGAAGGGAATTCTAGAAGAGGGAACTGTCTTTTATAACAGATTAATATTTCTGAGAAACTGCTTTGATGAAATTGACAATGGCTGCTCTACAAAACAAAAAAGATAAAATATGCCCAGTTGCAAATTTCCTGGCGCTTCCCGAAAGTGACCCCATTTCATAACTTAATTGTTTGGTGAACACCAGGTACTCTTCTCTTGTAAATGTAATCTCAGGTGTTGCCTCAATAAATGTTGCTCTTGGTTTAAAAAAAAAGGCAATTTTATTTATATAAACTAAAACTCAAAATTTCCCCAGAGAGGAAAATCTAAATTTCTATGTCAGGTAGCCCTGGCTGGTGTGGCTTAATGGGTTGAGCGTGGGCTTGCAAACCAAAGGGTCCCTGGTTCGATTCCAGATCAGGACACATCCCTGGGTTGCAGGCCAGTTCCCAGGTTGGGGATGTGCAAGAGGCAACCCAATCAATGTTTCTCTCCTTCTGTTTCTCCCTCCCTTCCCCTCTCTCTAGAAAATAAATAAAATCTTTAAAAAAAACCCAGAAAAAATATGGAAAAAGTTTGAGGCGAAATTATCTGCTGTATCACACCACCTATAGAGTCTCCTAAAATCAAGTAGCACTACTGAAAACTTTAGAGAATGGTAGAACTTAAGATTCTAAATAAAGATAACAGTTCTTGAATTGTGATAGTAAAAAATAAGCACATTATTCTAATCTGCAAAGAAACAACTTTATTAATCATGATTATATATATTTTAAAGCAGAAACAAAAGTTATAATTTATCAAGCAGATAAAAATGTTTTTAAAAAGTTTATACTTAAAAATTTCTTCCCATGTTACCACATGAACCTCAAAACAATTATTCTAAATTCTTGTATAATATTCCATTGCATGGATCAGTTGTGATTTATGTTACTACTTAGACACTTTAGTTTGCTTTAAATTGTTTTCCACAAACATCATCAAATTATTATGAATGTCTCTATTTATATAGCTTTTTACCCTTTGCCCTATTTCCTTAAAACTCATTCCCAGAAGTAGGAGTGACCAAAAAAAAAATTTTAAATTTATATAAGGATTGATGTTACACTCTGCAATCTCTAATATGTAAAGAAAGAAACAGTAGTTCCTACAATGAAATAAAAGGATGGGGAGAGCAGTTGAGGGTGTAGAAGAAATACTAACCATGAGTTGATAATAACAGAAGCTGGGTATAAAAGAATACTGTGGGGTTTATTTTATCATTATTCTACTATTGAGTATGTCTGACATGTTAAGTAACAGAAAGTTAAAGTTACTATAATCTCTTTTCTATCTTTCCTGGAGATTTCTCCTACTCATCTTAGTTAGTTCTCTAAGATTACCAATAGCTATTCTAAACTAAAATCTTGCTACTCAAAGTATGGCTCTTGGAAAAGCATAATCACTACTGCTTAGAGTTTATTAAAAAGGTAAAATGCTTTTTGCTGATAATTAAAACTAATCTTTTTCAAGGCACTTCATCAGAGAAGTTCAAATATCTAATAAACATATATAAATGTGTTCACATTTTTACTTAACAGCAAATACAAATTAAAACGACAATGAATACCTTTACCATCTACCAGAATGGAAAAAATGAAAAATAAAAACAAAAACAGATGTATCAAGCAAAGAGAAGGATATGCAGCAGCTGTAACTCATATAATAGTAGACTACTTGGCAGTGTCTACTAAAGCTGAACATACATGTATCTATGGCTCAGAATTTCCTTTCCCAGTTATTTCTCCAACAGAAAGACATATACATGCTCACCAAAAGACATATAAAAGAATGTTCAAAGCCATAATATTCAAATAGCCCTAAGTATATGTTCATTTAGAAATCTGAGACAATATAGTTTCATATTTACTTTTTTCACTTATATTGTGGACATTTCCTCATGTCATTATGTTTTAATATGATTTTCAATGGTTATATAATACTACAAAGTATATATAAATCATTTTATTAATGAATCCTGAACTGTAAGACATTCTAGGATTATTTCAAGTTTGGGGGGCTATAATTTCTAAATAATATTAAAACATCCTGATATATAAACCATTATCTTCATCTCTGATTACATCTCTAGGATAAATTCCTTGAAGAGGAATTATCAGCAGGTCAAAAGATAGGCTTTTCCAGATAGGCTGTACCAATTTACACTTCCAATAGTAAGATACGTTAAAAGTAGTCATTCTATAGAACCCTCTCCATCACTGGGTTATCCTTTAAAAGGGTCTACTAAGGTGAATGGGTAAAATATCATTTTGTTTATTGCTTACTAGAGACATTAAACATTTTTATATGCTTATATCATTTGCTTATCTTTTGAGCACTCTTCTCATATCCTTTGCCCAGTTTTCTAATGGAGAATTAGTCTGTTTCTTTTTCTCTCTTAGGAATTTATAGTGTAAGGATATTATCCCTTTGACATACATGGTAAATATATTCTTTAAGTTTTAATTTTTATTTTGTTTATTATGCTTGATGACTCAATCATTCCAAATCTCTTTTCTATCAAACATTTCCAGAGACTCTACCAAGTCTCACTTTTCTGTCAAACATTTCTTCCTGAGAATGCATCATGTCTTTTCTCTTTGCGCTCTTGAAATATTACATATATAGTCAATCTCAAGCAATACTTATTACTGCTCTTACACTTACCCTAAACACAAATGAAAATAAGTCTCATTTTGGCATCTAAGGGCTCTGCACAAATCTGCTTAAATAAGTCTTCAAAATGAGAAGGAGGAGACATGTAACAGGAAACCTGTGTGCCTAACAGGGGAAGTTGTTGAGGTGTTCATCAAAACATATAGCTATAAAAATTGAGCTGCATACAAAAGATAGGTACAAACCCTCCCTGAAACTCTACGTCGTAATTTCACTTCTGAGCAGCTTTTATAGTCCCTCCTGAACTGTATTTCTTTTAGTCTTTGTTAAAGGAATTTCACCCAGTTTTTTTTCTTCTTAAAGCATTAAAGCTGCATAATTTTCTGTTTCTAGCTTTTCACAAGCTATGATGATTTACTTATATTCTCCCAGATTTCCATCACATTCTAATTGGTTGTTAGTCAAAATTAGATTTGGAAAGACAATCTCTCTTATTGTTTCCTCTACTGTCAACAGGGCAAATCAATAATTTATTTGATTCTCTCTGTACAATCACTAAATTCATGTCTATGAAAAGTATTTTAGGGTATCCCTTTTGTTTCACTGCTCTTCAGTGAAATATACTCATTTTTTCATAGGCTGTGTGAAATTACATGCAGATGTACATTTTTCGTGATATTGAGTGTTATTCCCCATGTATTTAACAAGTCTGTTTCTCTGGAATAATTTATTCTTCTATTCTAAGTCCTATTCCAACAAGTCTTGACAAATACCTATATAAGGTCACATTTATTTTCTTGTATTAAAATATCACAGGATTTTGCTTAGTTTATCCTCTGTGTTCTGAACTTTAGATAACTTGAGGTCACAAATATCCAGTATTTTTTATTGTGTAATAATAGGCACCTTGTCAACTGTTAGTCATCTGTTTTATGTAAAAACCTCCATCATATCCAGTATTAGAAATTTACTAATATTCTTCTGTTTCCCTCAACATTTTCCAAGTAAAATCTTCTTGCTCTGATCATCAAATTACTAGGTGAATAAATTCTTTCAATTACTGGCAGGGGAAGCACAGAAACCTACCATTCAAAGATCTTAAGTCGTCGTTTAGAAAAATTTAAATTCTTTTCTAAATGACATTGTCTGGTAATGTTACCATTTTTCATTTCTCTCTCCAAGTCCCAATCCGCAATTAAAATGAGAGATAAAAATATAATTTGGTCAAGATGTAATTATCATCTTCCTTAACAGTATCAGTATGGAAACTAAATTCTTCATTTAATTCCTTTTTAAATGAGTTTTCCTTTGGTCTCCAATGACTCAACTGATAACAAAAATATGTGAATACATATGCTGATTCATACCATCTCTAAAACACGTTATCATTCTCAAAATAAATTCTATAGCATTAAGAATCTGTGGAAGTATTTTCCAGTTTTCAAGATTTTCACTGCTAATTTTTCCTAAAGGTAAGAGATTAAAAAAGGTGTCACTAGTGATAGTAAGTCTGCAGCTCTTGCCAAATCCTAAGAGGCACATGAAAAATACTAAAGTATATTTAATAAAATTAATTATCTATAAAGCATACTGCCTTAAGTTTAATACAAATCTGTAATTAAGATTGAAATAATAGTCAAGTACCTGTAGTTGAGATTAAAATTCCAGTACAGAGTTAGGATAAATGAGGAAAAACTATGAAATTTGATGTTTATTAATGTAGACTTTAGAAAGTTAAAAGATATGGTGATATCCTTAATGATCAGTGAATTGTAAAGAAGTTTTCAAAATGCTTAATAATCCAAAGGAAAAGAATTATCTAGAAAAAAAGAACCCTTCAGCCTATAACAGGTTACTTCTATGAGTCACTGTCACCTAAAATAAGTTGTAACATTTGGTAAAATTTCACATTTAATCAATTTGGAAACACCCAAATTTAAAATTTTTATCATTTAAATGACTTCTTGTTTTATTCATTTATTCCAAGATTTACTGAATGACTCCTATGTATCAGACTCTGTAACAAGCTTTCTATGAAGATTAAATTCTAGCTAGAAAACTAAACAAGAAAAACACACAAAACAAAAAGCAGAGAGAACATCTTAATTAAAAAAACCAAAGGATAATATTTATTATAATTCTTTTAATAAATTACAACCTCCTTTAAAAAGAGATACATTAATGTCCCCCTATGCAGACTGCTTTTTGAATGTTAGGTCCACAATTCTTCTCTAATATTTAATATTTGTTTTATAGTTTCACATTATAGCTGTTGCGAACCATCCCGTCTGGCTTCAGGGACTGTAGCCTCGCTGACAGGTGAGAGGGCCCCAAGGCTGGAGCTGAGCAAGGAGGCCTTGGGAAAATAGGCCACGGAAGAGAAAAAACCTGTCCCCCAGGCAGGGGTGCAGCCTCTGCCTCCCTCACATCACCCTGCTTGGCCCCAGAGGATGGCTGGTTAGTCAACGATGGGTAAGACCCCCTCCATGGCAAGGGCAAAAGACCCTCACCCCTCGGCTCTGTCAAAGTCAGAGTCCTCATTTTACCTGAAAGAAATCTCCTTATCTCTTGGCTGCCCTGCTCCACCCACCTGACAGGGTCAGTGAAACAATACTAAAAGCAGGTATAGCCCTAAACTGGATCAGGTGGTTCCCAGGGGCAATTAGGCCTGGAAAAGGAAAGCATTAAATCCTATGAAACTTACTTTGATAAGAATGCCCTTGAGTTAATGAGTACTGATGTTTGAGGGTCCAAGCATAAGATGAGATGGTATCCCAGGTTTCAGGGTAAATGGGTGCCAGCCTGTCTACCAGACCCTGACCTGAGGCAAGTCTCTGTGTTCCTTCAATTATTATCTATGATCTCTGCTTCCTGTAAACATAGCCTTTGACACTGATTGATAAGCTTTGCATGCATGCTGTATATCCCTGTGCATATTGTTCTCAATAAAAGCCACTTCAAGAGAAGGGCTCAGGGAATTCTCCACTAGAGGAAATCGCCACCCCCTTTTCCTAGTAGACCGAGAGTGTCTGCAACGACTAATTTTCTTCATCTGCTGTGGCTGGGCGACTCTGCGGGACACAGTACCCCCTTCAATAACAATGCTTTTCTAATCAAAAATCAAAGAATCAAAGTGATTTTAACTTGTTTTAACAAGAAAAAAAAGGGGTGACATAAAACTGCAAGGAACATTTTTTCTAGATTCTAATAATGAGGGCAGGTTGTACTATTTTTAAAAACTTTAAAAATGCTTAATATTAAAAAAAATCCCTAGCAAAAGTAATTGCCATAAAAATTACAAAAAGAAAAACGTAAGTATGAACAGAGAGTTTTTCAAATGATGTGAAAAATGGAGCATTAGAAAAACAAAAAGTGCGTATTATAGAAATAAAAATCCCAAGCATTTTACTAACATGAAAACTCTAAAAGCAATCTAAATCATATACCTCCTCAAGCCATAAGGGCGCTGCCATGATTCTCAAAATGTATCTGAAAAAGGTAGGTCTGTAGATGGAGGTTAAAAAAATAACTTGGGAGTATTGTGATCACTTACTCAGGCCTTTTGATCCCATGTCGTCAGGGATCTCCTGTAGAGAGTAGTTCCCAGAGAGCAAGCAATAAAAAGATAATCAAAGAAAATAGTTGTCAGTAATGCATAAAACTGGTGCTACAATAAGAGACAGTTCCAAGACCATTACAGGTGCACATCTTATAGAGCACTGTTGTAGATTTTTGAAAGTTTGAAATAAATGAGCAGCTAAATGTAACCTACTAGAAGAATAAAAGTTCTACCTTAGAGGCTGAATAGGGTGGAGCAGCCAAGTTTGATACTATTTCTTGCAATTTCAAAAGTAAAATGAAGACTGTCTACATATAAAGAAGAGAGAGGATAAAATGGAATGAGTCCAGAAGATCTATTTATCAAGAATGGCAATATCATACCTAGAAATCACTAGCTTCCCAGGTATTCATGTTTTTCCTCTAAAATAGTATTTTCTAAGAGTATATTAAGTGTTTATTATAAGAACTCTTACATCAAATTAATACTATGTTAAACATACAGCTTAAAAATACTGTTTAAGTTAATTCCTAAGTACCAGAAGAAGTTAAGATTGGTATAACAATGAATTTATGCCTGTTAAGTTGCCCCTGGTTAATACAATTGGTAACCTGTTGCAGCTCTTGAAACTGTCTCTATGGTAACAACCAACTGCAGGGCAGTAGGTCCCTCTACAGTTATTTTCAGTTGACCACTGGATCCACATACTTACGGTCAGCATCACTTGTTTCCTGCTCACTCTGGTCCTTGTTCTTGTAGAAGGGAAATTTTCGGGAAAAGAGGTTCTTTTTACGCTTGTCATTGAATGACTGCTGAAGAAGAGAAGGAGGGGCAAAACAAAGGGATGTCTACTGTCTGTGTGGACAAATGCCCAGCCTAGTAGCTCTGTGGAAGCTGACTCTTGTGACCACAATTTGCAGTCTGTATATGAATTTTAATCACATATAAAGTGAATTTCTAATTTTATATTAACTCTTGTAATTCTAATGTTTTACAACAAAAAATACTGAAAAATTTAAAGAGTGTAATTCAGTAATACCTAAAAATAGGAATAAATGCTACTTGATAAAAACGGAAAGAATAAATCAGATTAGGTACTACCAGGTACAACTATCTGTTCATATCAATACATATTTTTCTAGATTTCCAGGAGCCAGGTGCTCTATAGCAAAAGTTTTTAAACGTTTCCTATAGCTGTTCAAATATTTTTACTGCATTAGGTAATAACCTTCATTTTCCTTTTGCTTGAATACATTTCCTCCCCTTTTTCTTTTTAAAAAAATTTTTGGGGTCCAACAAACTAATCAAAACCCCTATTAAAAAAAAAAACCAGAGCACTTGAGAACGTTCCAGTACTGATTATTTAAAAAACAATCCTTCCTATCTATGTATCTTTAAGAGAAAAAAAGATAACTAAATGCTTATGGAATTAATCAAAAAATGGGAAGATAATTAAGAGGGCTCCATCAAAGCCACAGGGTCCAGCAACAGATTTATCAATGCTATCTAACCAAGGAAGAAGAGTTAGGACTCCTCTGGACAGTTTGAATGCTATCATAATGGATTTGTGTGTGTGTGTGTGTGTGTGTGTGTGTTTGTGATTGAGCTCTACTATGCAAACCTATTTTTTAAAGTATGTATAAATAAAATAGAACCAAATTCTATCCATTGGCACCATAAGTCTTAAATAGGAAATAAAAAGTTTGGTGCCCCTGAGAGCCAAAAAGGCAATTAAGATTTGAATAATTTATACAAACTGCCATAAGGAAGAGGAACAGCTGCTTTGAAGTCCCTTATTGCACAGATGTTGGAAACAAATTTTTCCCATTCTTGAACATCCCACTTGTGCATTCATAGATTTCAAAGCATGTAGCACAAAGATGAGCCTATTAGAGGAATAGTTTCTTTTGTAATTTCTGTGATAGGCACTCAAGTGTTGAAAGAAATGGCCTTACATACTACCCGTGACACTAGGAATTAACATTATTACAATATTTTATGTGGGAACAACATGAAGGATAAAAATTTTGTTCTGATTTTTCCTCAGTTCATCCACATTATAAGGTGCTATCATTATTCTGAAGTGTACTGACACCAGGCAGTATGTTTTTGGCATGCCTATATTTTTAAGCATAAAAGGCCAGGTGATTAAGGTGCTGAATTAGATTAAAAGTGACTTTTAGCTCAAATTCTATTAACTGAAAGAATTTATATTGATAAGCATTTTTATAAAAAAGTTAAACTTTCATTTTACTTTTTCATAGCAATAATTCAGGATTAAGAAGTTAATGGTTCATAGTTAAGCAGATTATCTTGATTTCAATCATAAAATTTGAAGGCTCAAATACCTCCAAGTGGAAGCTGAAAATTAAGCTGGTCAGTAAAAAATAATATAAAGAACTGTGGGCTTATAATTATTTTATAAACTGTCAAGTAGCATTATTTGAATAAAAATCTTTGTTTGAATCCAAATTTTAGAAAAGAAAAAGAGAGAATAATTTAAGTTTCAACAGAAAAAATTTGTGATAATCTAATTTAGGAAAGGACTTTATCTTTTTGTTCATGACAATCACTGCTTTTGAATTCATTAATAATTTTTATATTTGACAGAATTATTTTAAATAAAGGGTATTTATTTCTCCTACTGCATATATAGTGGTCAGAGTCAGTTTCACAGCAAACAACTGAAAGAAATATGAAGTTTAAAATGTTTTGATTTTTGATATCTTTGCAGTTAGCCAGAATAAGATATCATAACATGAGACAGAAAGAAATGTTTGTTAGATAAGAAATGTATTAATTGTATTATTCAACATCCTCGAGGTAAAAAATTTATTAAAAATAAAAATAGCACAAGCAAACAAGACAAAAAATATGTAGGAAAAACACAAAACTGGAGAAACATACTACCTCCAGTGCTTCTATATTTCCAATACAAAGTACTCTGTTTAATTACTTATTGTTATAGTGCTATACTGCAAAAGAGACAGAGTGTAAGAAGTGTTAAGAACTGATAAAGTATCAGATTCATGATACATATATATTAAATATCTGAATATATAATCTCCATATGTAGTATTTTAAAATAGTCAAATGAATGTTAAAAATGTTAATGAGGAATTGAATTGTTCTAAGTCTACAGTGGAAATAAAGCTCATAAGCCATGTAAGGAAAGGAAAAGAAGAACTTAGAATAGGAAGTGCTTGTTACAGAAAGAAATGCAGTTCTGTATCAATGGCAAGCGTATTTTTACCCCACTAAGTATCATGCATATTTTTGATGCTGTGTTAGAACACAGTGACTGTGTGTAAAGTTGGTTACAGTCAACAAACAAGACTAAGATTTAAATATGTCGTTAATTCAGTTAACTTCTTAAAGTATGAAGAAAAGTTACAACATGCAACCTCTTTTTCCATATATTGACAGTGTATTTTATTACATTATTTTAAAAGACATATATAAAATAAGCACAAAAAGCATTGTATATATTTCAAATACTTGAGATGTTTTTCCTCCAAAACATTTCTATTTTAAATATTGCTTCAGATCACACTATATATTGTAATTTTGTATTTCCTGAAAACTACAATTTTAAAGGAATTTATCATTTCTAAAATACTTGAATATATTATGTAATTTACTCAGATTTAATGTTTTTGTTCAAGGATCATATTTCTTAATTTTTAAATTTTAAAGCTTTAAGTTTGAGTGCTTAGTAATATCAGAGATGCACAGACAGTAGGGTTAATTTATTTGCTGAATTTTACATTAATTTGAAATATAATCAAAATATGTATAAAACTGTTGCTTAAGGTTAAAAAACCCTACAAAGCAGAAAACCTTTCTACAAATAGTATTTCAATACATGTATTCAGGTCTTTCTTCAGGCTTTTTGCTAATATATTTCATTGTAGTAATTACAAACATAGTACAGGACAAAGCCTGTAAGGTGTTGTTCATCTAATGACATCTATTTTAAGCAGGGCTTAAAGTAAATGAAAATAAAAACATGCCTAAAATATATATAAAATAATTTTGATATATTTCTTGATCATCTACAAATTCCTCTTTTTGATTGTCACTTTATTTCCTCAAAATAAAATTCACATTGATTCAAACATTTAGAACATGGATTGTATTAATAAATATTAGGAATAGAGGAGAAAACAAGAAAATTTCCATGAATTCACTTGAAAAAAACCAATGAACTGACATTATGATCTTGTTAGTAATATTTTGGGGGCCTGTTTTTCAGAAAATTCATTAAGTTAACTATCATGATTAATACTGGTGACACAAATTTCTAATTGAACATGTGAATGAAGGCTAAATTCATATCATGTATAAAAATAACCTTGACCAAAATATGTTAAGAACATATCAAATGAAAGTTTTAATTTGACAAGGTCTGTGAAAAGGGGTGCTTTAATTTAATAAATCATTTTAATATCTACTATTGTAAAGTGACATGGCAAGAGCTGTTGAAAGTAATTCTTTTGACTAAATCCTTCTCACTTTAATAATGTAGCTCAAACAAGACTCATAAAAAGGTCTGTTATACTCAATTATTAATTTCTAGAAATAAGAGATTTCATATACTCACCCCTTTATCTCCTCTTGTTTTAGAATTGAATTTCACTGTTTTTAATCGGGCCCGTTCTTTCTTCTCAACCCTGTCAAAGTATTCACTATTATTTTTTAGGTATGCCAAATACATCTAATTGTCTAATTACAAATCATCAAAGTGATACTTCAATACTGGGCATTTTTATAACCCTTGGAAGCCATCTAGGTTTGTTTCCTCAAATTAATTAGAATTTCTGATAAATAAAATACAGGATTAATTATTAAAAAAGCCAGTTGTGAATTATCAAAATACAGCACTTAATATATGCACTCAGTTCCCTAATTACACTGAAATTATTATAAGACAAAGACTTCTGAGTTGACCAATTTTCCAGGTTTTTTGTTTATTTTTTTGTAGTTTAAGTATTAGCTTAGCATGGAAAACATATTCTAAATATTAAGCATGAGAGAGAGAAAACAAATGGGGCAAAACGTCAATAACTGGTGAAAGTAGGTGAAGGATATGTGGATGTTCCTTGTACTATTCTTACATTTCTCTTGTATTTATTTTTCTGTAGCTCTAAAAATTTTAAAAATAAAAAGATGAGAAAAAAATTAAGCTTAACTCCAATGACATTTTTGTATAAATATATAAAGTAACCAATTATAATGTACAAAATAAAGTTTTAAAGTATCTTGGGAGGGATATATAAGAACCGGTTAGCCTAGTTATCCCTACGAATGTGAAATGGTTGCCTGGAAACAGAGTTAAGAGGGAGTCTGTATAGCTTTTAGATCTTTTGAATTTTGAACCTTTTAAAAGTGTTAGCTATTCAAAATAAACAAGCAAATAAAACAAATGCTTTAAGTAAATATTAACACTAGCATGTATTTTGTAAAATTTAATGTAAATTATGCTTTTATAAATCCTCAATTTCAATGTAGCGCTTATGTTAGTATATAGCAGAAAAACCTACCCAGTCTATGAATACATACTTTTTCTTTATTATGTAGCTATACAGTTTTATTGTGGGATAGTAGAAGAAGAACCTTAGTAATCATGAATTGACATTATAATAGTTAAAAACTTACTAGTTTTTACTATTCCAGAGCAATCCTGAGGATACACGACATGAATAATTAATTTATAATTCTGCCTGGACACTTATTGAGGGCACTGCAAAACTAACATTTAGTGAGTGAACAGTTACAACTCAAAATGGCTCTGTTTTCTTATCACTATCTTGTTCACTAAATAGTTGAGTGACGTAAACTGTTTATTTAAAAATACTATTCCAGGAAGAAAGCTAAGAATTATAGGAACTATAATTCCTTGTGGGACTTGTAGAGATCTCAAGATATGACTTATATCACTTTTTGCCTTAAACATCAACCTTACAGAATTTTATGCAAAATGAAAAAAATCTTTCCACCAAAGTCAGCTGTGTTTCTCATTTCTTCCAGTAAAGCCTTTGTAAGAATACAATATTCCAAGGGATAAATCAATTTTTAGGAACTCTGACGTTGATATTTAAGATGTGAGGTTTCTTATTGACTCAGAAGGCAAAGAGTAAGCATTTCTGAATTTAAAGGAGACTACATTATATTCCAGGTAAGAAGATATGCTGAGGGCAACACTGCTGAAACAGGAGTTGCCATCAAATATAGCATCTAACTAAATACTTGGATTTTGCTAAACATATGCAGCTAGCTAATAACAGTCATAACTCCTAAAACTACAGCTACATATCTTTACAATACTTTAATATTCCTTCTCTTCACAACTTCTACAAATACATTCACATATATGTGTAGAGGTCTAAAATAGGCATATGATTTTGTATACTTATTAGTTACAGAGACTCAACAAAGTAAGTACAAATCTAACTCATTAAAAAGAAAAATACAAGTTTACTACATCATGAGCCTGGCCTGAAAGGAATTAACTAGCTATAACAGACATTAATATCTCATTAATATTTTTTGCGTGCTATCTTAAAACTTATAAAAGGACTTTTAGGCAAAGATTTGGGTGGATCAGATCTCATAAATAAGGTACTTTGGGGGAATTATGAACTGATAATACCTTTCCTACAAAAGTAGAGACATGTAACTGCATTTCATAGATTTTTAAAGGGGTTCCCTAAGCTGGAATCCTCCTTTTGAAAGATAATCAGCACATAACCACTTTTGCCATTAGATGGTGAGTATACACCGAAGACACATTATAATAAATGGTTAAAAGCCAAAAGGAAAGACACCGAGTGCACTAATACTTCTAAATTAAGAAAAGAAATGTGAAGCATACCACCAGATATTTTGAAACATTCTGCATTTATTTACAGTGCTTTCAGTTTTCAAGCCTAAAAGAGGCATAATTCACAAAATCAAAAGCCCTGACAATTTAGGTTTTATCATCACCATAATGGGAAAACTACAGAGGCTTTTAATTCTCTCTCCCTCCACTGGCACAGATGCATGGCACAATGACTTAAAATATACTTACTTTGTTTTTAGCAACCAGTAGGAACTTGAGAGAAATTTCTGTTTGGGGGGCATTATAATCTCTGGTTATGTTACTGGTTATAATATAAAGTGAGTAAAATTAAGTGGTTGTAAAACACGATATGGAAAACAGGCATAAAATCATCACTTCAGTAAAAGAAATTTAAAAGCACAGCATTTATGTGTTTATGTTGCCCAAACTTTCAAGTGATAAGACGATAATGCACTTATATTTACCTGCGTTTACTGGGGATCACCCCAACTTCATCACTCTCACCATCTGGTGTAACCTGCCTGGCTTGCCACCACTCATCATCGGAAGCATTAATAACATGGAGGATATCTCCAAATTTGAAGTTCAGTCCCTGACTGGGAAGGCCACTGTCTTTAGTCTTGTCATAATCAAAAAGGGCTCTAGATTAAGAAGAAAAGGTCCATAATTACTTGTTATAATGATGTTATCAACATTAAATAAACACAGGATTCTGAAAATGTTTAAAATCTGAATAAGTAATTAAACAATATACCATGGTAGGTAAAATAGTGCCAAACTCAATTTTGTGCTATATATAAAACGAGACAAAAAAATTAGCAAAAATTACTTGTTATATTAATAATTTGTTATTAGGTACATTACCTTATTTCTTTCAATAGTGTATAAGAAAACTTTAAAAAACACCTGTAGTACCACCCATGGCAACCTATACTGAATTCTAAAATGAAGATAAATCTAGAAAGTTGTTTTAGATTAATAAGCAACAGTAAACATTGAGATACTCTCTTCTCTTTATTTTGATTGGGTACACTTGTGAAAACAAATTCCTTGGTAGATTTGACTCATTAGTTATGAACTGTAAGACTAAATCAACAGAGTAATTATTTGGTCAGTTAATTATTCTTTCTGTTTGTTCACAAAACTAGACTTAACAGCGTTTTCAAATAACAATGATGAAAAGTAACTACAGATGATTTTAACAACTGCCAAATATTTTGGAAAAATATTATATTTAGTATTTCCAAATTAATTGGAAATGTTAATAATATTTTAAATTTGAAAAAAATAGTGTCCTACTATTTGATCAATTAATGTACAATTTTTAAATAAATGAAATTCTTATAGTCACAGCGCTCTCAGAAAAGAACTCAAGCAATTACATTTATAATACAATTTATTCATTCTTTTGTTCTAATTTGGCACCTGGAAATTAGTATACAAATCATATTCCTTTTCATGCTACCCAAGTTTTAAGAATGTATCTCCTGAGGTAAAACTGAAGAGAGTGGAATTATTTGATGGCTAAATTAACTAACTAGTTAATCTTCTTCAAATGTGTTCTTTCAAGTCTTTTCAGGGAAGTAGGTAGGAAGGTTTAAACATATATTAAAGCAGATATTCTGTAATACATTGGGTTTTATCTAAAAACAAAGGAATTCTACAGCTGAAAAGAAAAGATTACAAATGATATAAATGCTAATCGTTATTTCAACCAATAAATTCTGAACTCTAAGGAACTGTTTTTCTACTAAAAATATATGGCTAACCTCAAATAATACAAAGGTTAGGCACAGTCGCTCAATTATTAAATGTTTACTAAAAAGGTAATGAAGTAGCTATGGCAAAGATAAAGATGACAAAGAAAATGAGGATACAAATAAACATAATGTAAAACAGAACTAAAGTACATTAAGAGGTAGAACACATGCCAAAAGACGTTCAGAGAAGGGAAAATAAATACTACAATGAAATTTTTGTTGTTGTTGGTTTTTTTTTTTTGACAGAGGGGAAGGGAGAAAGAGCGGTAGAGAAAAACGGATCTGTTGCTTTCCACATGCACCTTCACTGGGATCGAACGTGCAACCCAGGCATGTGCCCTGACTGGGAATTGAACTAGTGACTTTTCTTTCTGGTTTGTAGCGTGACTCCCAACTGAGACACACCAACCAGGGCTACACTGAAACATATTTATAACTATAAATTAATCTTTTGCATTACCACAAAAATATAACTATATTATTAATGAGCAATGAGGAAAGGAACCACCCCCAACCTCTATTCCTTAATTTGCAGTTAAGCTTTGTCTTTTAATATATTTGATTCATAAACTGGAACCCATGGACTACCTATGTGAGTTACTGATTATGAGAGTATAATAAACACCTGTTAATCTACTACCCAACAAAAGATTATACAGAAAACCTTTATCAGTAACTCATGTTCACTAATGTATTTTTCCCTCTTGATGCTGATTCCCACTGATTAAAAATAAAGCTAGCATTATTAGAAGGCAACCACCATTTTGAATACAGTGTTTATTGTATTCCTTGACCCTTACCCATTTTTTGTTGATTTGGTTTTATCATATGTATGTGAATGACTATGTAATTATGTATGGTTTTATTGTTTCGAAGCTTCATAAATGGTATTATATTGTATGTCACCTTTTGTACCTTGATTTTTTATGTTTTACTTTTCAATTTTAAAATACACTTACTAAAAAGAACTATAAGACTTCTGGTTAACTATGGCAGACTGGCTACACGTATTTATTTCCTCACAAAAGTGACAAAAAAAAAAAGAAAAATACAAAAGAGAAATGACAATAGAATAGAATGTTTAACAAGTTTTGGGATGATGGTAACTAAACCTAGCAGAGTGAAGGAAGCTCTAAGTGGAGTGTCTGAAAAGAGTGATATTGAAATAAGATTTATCTGTAAGACCTTAGAAATGCTTATGAATTAGAAATATATAGTATCTAGAAGGTAGAGACAAGTTACAAAAGTGTAGACAGAAGAACTGGTGGAAACACTGTATATAGAGCGCTTAGACCCTCCCTTTTTTTGTTTCCAGTCCCATAGAAGACCAGAGCTTTAGTTCCTAGAGAAATTGGTTTTCGGGAATGTGGTAGGAAGGTGAAAAGGTGCTGGGTTGAAACAGAAGGATTGATAAGAAGTCTGCACACTGAAAACTGAATCCAGCAACCTGGTTTATACTTGAGGAGATTAAGAATTTGTCTCTAGAGATATTTAAATGACACCAAAGAAAAGAATGACCTGGGGAGGGAAGAGGGCAATGAAAAAGTCAGTAATCTTCTAATTAAATCCACCAGCTTGATTCTCTAATCATAAGAATAGAAAGCAAGGATCCTAACCACTTAAAGATAGCCTCATGTTAAAAAAAAAAAAAAAAAAGGGAATAAAAAACAAGCAAACTAGAACAAAGGAATAGAGAGAAAGCAGAGAATTCAAGAAGCAGAAGAAAACAGTAGAGAAACATGAGAAGATATGTCCACAAAATAAAAAAATGACAACCCCTCCCGCCCCCAACAAACCCCCAAACAAAATCAAGTAAGAATGGGCTCCTGGAAAATAAAATAGGATATCATAACCTCCCACAACCCTCCAAATTTTCTATCAAGGAGAAGGCAAAATAAGTCATTTTCAGACATGCTGAGACACGAAAAGTACCTCCCACACCTTTTCCTCAAGAATTTACTGAAGGATGTGCTTTGGCAAAATAAAAGTAAATTGAGAAAGCAGAAAATGTAGAAGCAGACTGACACAGTATAGAGCCAAAGGGAATAGGATCATGGCAAAGGAAAGTCTCACATGAAAATTGTACACCAAGTCTATAGAGCAATTAGTCCAGATTGGAACAAAAAAGATGGAAAAAACTGAATTGATAAGACCACATGTGTGCCATATGTTTCATGCGAAAAACTCTAAATAAGTTACTGGAAGACAAAAGGAAACAGTAATAAGTAGAGGGAATATTAAGAAATGAAAGTGAGGCAACTGTTAAGTTCAGGAAAAATGAAGGGTTGCAGAAGAACTGTGGTTATAATGTACTGCTTGATGATGTAATCTCAGATATTACATAAGTCACATAACTCTAAATGCTATTAACTTTATTAACAGTGCCACAATTATGTTTGAGAAATAGGGAAAGAGGCAGAATGAGTGGTTTGGTGTGAGAGATAAAGTTCTAATTTACCAAAGCAGTAAGTCTTCTACTGTCCAAAGTTGGTAAATTAGAAACAACAGTATACGCACTTTATTAAAAAATTTGGAGGTAAACTTCTGGTCAAGATGGTGGTATAGGTAAACACAGCTACCTCCTCGCATGACCACATCAAAATTACAACTAAACTATAGAACAACCATCAGTGAGAAATGTCAGAAATCAAGTTGAATGGAAGTCTGATGACTATGGAATTAAAGAAACCACACCCATCCAGACTGGTAGGAGGGGTGGAAAAGTAGAATGGGCTGGTCCCACATAATTTGGGAAGGGTATCTCAGGAATGAGGAGTCCTAGCCCCACACCAGGCCCCTGAGTCCAGGGTTCCAGTGACAGGAAGATAAGTCCCCATAACTTCTGGTTGCAAAAACCCGTGGGGATTGAGTTGGTGGAAGAAACTTCTGGAGCTCCAAACAGGACCTCTTAAAGAACCCATGCATGGATTCATCAACTCAGGCTCACTCCCTCTGGGATCCAGGATTAGGGTAGCAGCCTGAGAGACACCAGGGGGAAACTGAAGTATCTGACATTAAAGCAAGAGCTGGGGGACAGCGTTTTCCCAGACATAAAGGCAGAAAGAGGACAATGTCCATTTTCTGAACCATCCCCCCACTGAGCCACAGAGCCAGCAGGTTGGTGCCATACCTGAGACACCATCAACATGGCTAACACTGTTTGCCCCACCTTGGAGAACCCCAGCGACTCTGGCCAACCCGGCTGCTTTTCTATATGAATGGTTGGTTTTGACTCATGCTTTACGACTTCCTAAATCTTCTCAAAAAAGCAACAACAGTCCTCAGTGAGACCCAGCCCCTGTGCCTCTTGCTAAGTGGCCCCAGGCCCGGCACTAGGAACAATCGGCCAAGATTCACGGTGTGGTTTTGCCCAGGAATCTCCAAGCCCAACACAAGTAGCAGCCATCTCAGGTTGCTTTACTGCTCAGGCAGGATGGCACTGGGCAAAACATAAGTAGGGGCTGACTTTGGCCCGCACCACCTGGGAAAACCCAGAGCCAGTGTACCGCTACAGACCACATGGGAATACCACCACCCTGCCCCTGTACAGCTGGTCCTCCCCAAGGGCAGAGGAGGTTGGTGGTCAGTGGTCATAGCCAGTCCTTTCAGCTGTGGGTAAATCCCTTCCACTGACCTGCCAACAGCAATCAAGGCTCAACTACAAGAGAAGAGTGTACTCAGCCCACAAAAAGGGCACACTGTGCCACTGGACCCTATAGGACACATACTACATTAGGCCATGCTACCAAGATAGGGAGTCATAGCAGCTCTACATATACAAAGCTACACATAGCAGCTCTACAAATACATAGAAACAAACATAGGGAAGCTGCCAAAACTAGGAGACAAAGAAACATGGCCCAAATGAAAAAAACATATCAAAACATCCGCAAAAGAACTAAACAAAATGGAGATAAGCAATCTATCAGATGCAGAGTTCAAAACACTGGTTATAAGGATGCTCAAGGAACTTAGGACCTCAACAGCATAAAACAGATCCAGTCAGAAATGAAGGATACATTAATGAAAATAAGGAACAATTTACAGGGAAACAACAGTACAGTGGTGAAAGCTGAGAATCCAATCAGTGATTTGGAACATCAGGAAGCAAAGCAAAGCAAAACTAAATAAAACCATCACAACAAAAAATACAATCAGAATAAGAAGAAAAAAAATATATATAAAAAAAGAGGATAGTATAAGTACCTCCGGGACAACTTCGAGGGGTTCAACATTGCATTAGAGATGCCAGAACAAGAAGAGAAACAGCAAGAAATTGCAAATCTATTTGAAAAAATAATGAAAGAAAACTTCTTTAATTTGGTGAAGGAAATAGATATGCAAGTCCAGGAAGCACAGAGAGTCCCAAACAAGATAGATGCAAAGAGGAGCACTCCAAGACATGTCAATTAAAATGCCAAAGGTTAAAGAGAGATTCTCAAAAGCAGTGAGAAAAGAGCAGTTAGTTACCTACAGGGGAATTCCTGTAAGACTGTCAGCTGATTTCTTAAAAGAAACTTTGCAGGCTAGAATGGACTGGCAAGGAATATTCAAACTCATAAAAAGCAGGGGCTTACAGCCAAGATTGCTCTACCCAGCAAAGGTAACATTAGAATTGAAGAGCAGATAAAGAGCTTCCAAGACAAGAAAAAACTAAAGGAGTTCATCATCATCAAATCATTATTATATGAAATGTTAAAGGGACTTCTTTATGAAAAAGATAAAAACTGTGAACAATAAAATGGCAATAAGTACATATCTATCAACAATTGAATCGAAAAAACACACTAAGCAAACAAGAAGAACAGAGTCAGAATCAGGGTTATGAATAGTTTCTGATGGGTGCCAGATGGGAGAGAAGTGTGGAGAATGTGTGAAGAGGCGAGGGGATTTAGAAGTACAAATAGGTATTTACAGAATAGCCATGGGGATGTAAAGAACAGTGTAGGAAATGGATGAGCTACAGAACTTACATGCATGACAAATGGATATGAACAACGGTGTGGGGACTGCCTGAGAGAATGTGGGGTGCTGTGTGGAGGGGGGTAAGGGAGAAAAGTTGTGATAACTGTAATAGCACAATCAATAAAATAAAGCTAAAACAATAAAAATTTGGAGATAAAGGCAAAGGAGTTTGTTAGGAAAATGGAAATAAAGTTTTAAGGACTGTTTGGAGGTCACAGTTATTTTTCATTATAAAGTCTTTTGATAATATACAACTTTATAAGAATAAAAAGTGAAGATGACTCATTAAATGTACCTAAAACAAATATCACCTAATGTTTGTTATGTGTTTTTAATAAATCAGATATTAAAGGTAACACCTTTATTATCTACATTACACTATTTAGTGTAATACATGAATTACACTAAACTTAGAAATTATAGATTAAAAAAAGGAGAGGATAAACACAAATTTATATTTTTCCATATTCTGTAGATATCTATAGATAAAATACTTTTAACAACTTTGAGTCAGAAAAGTTTAATAAATATGGCAAGAATTAGTGGAAGGAAAGAAAAATTTGATACATGTAGGATTCCTAGATCATTAGAGTAGAAAGAATAAAAAGGGTAGTAGAAATAGAACAAGAAAAGAAAGAGGAAAGGTTCCATTTATTATGTATTGGAGAACAAGTATAGAGTATATGCTTGTGTATATAGACATATTTATACATACAGAAACATATACGGGATACGTCTATTTTATATAACATATATCATCTCTCACCAGAATAACAAAACATTAGCAATAGGCTCCCTAAAAGAATCAAAAGGAATGAAAGACTAATTATGAAGAATAATACAAATTACTTACAGTAATCAACTGAATTTAAAATAATAGTATAATAATAGTATAGTAAGGTACATATAAAAGCTCTACTAAAAAAGTATACAAGATACAAATAAATAGGATATCTGTATTGTTTTGTTAGCCAATCAAATAAAAAAACAATTTCTATACTAATGGTATCTATGTAATATTATTAGGTTTATGTTGCCACATTAGTCTTATATAGAAAAATAACATGTTTATCTTCTCCCAAGTGTTCCAAAAATGCATGACAAAATTTACTGAAACTGTACTCTTTGCTGAAGCAATTTACATTTTAAGTCATTACTTACATATGCTTTCTTTGCTATAATCCAAACTGTCAAGGTAATTAAATGTTAAACAAATGGAGAATATTTTATTATAAAATAATACAGGTAAATATTAGTGTTGGATAGGCCATATTAAGCTACAATACTGATTCAGTAAAAGATCAGCTTAAAAAATTTTCTGGTGTATCTTTATTTTGTATTTCCTTCCTATTATTCAAGGGGTTATATAATTTTCATTAATCAAATTATAATATATTCCAGCTCTTGAAAGACAACTGTCAGAAAAGTAATCATAAAAAAACATTTCTTTAGTTTGCAACTTATTTTTCTTTCTTTCTTTCTTTTCTATAGTAGAACTCAGTGAAAAACCTGAAAGAAATCATGTATAAATATTAATACTTGCCATAGTTGCATAAATTATTAAGACCTGCCATAATTAGAAGTAGAAAAATTTACCTGACATAGAGGGATCGCTTCTGGCTAGTTCGAAGAGAACCTGATCCTGAACTAATGCTACTATTCATCATCTGCTCCCGTAAGTCATGTATTTTCGCTTCAAAACGACTGTATTCTGATAAAAGAAAAAGAGAAATAAATTTATATTTTATATTATCAAAAAAGTTACTTGAAGATAAAATATTAAATATGTAACCTGTCCTATAATTGATTAAAAGTGGTTAGAACCTTAAGAGAGTACTCTGTACAACAATCTAATATGCATATATAAAAAATTAAATGTACCATAAATTATTATTGGCTGAATTAGAATTTTCTCATATGCTATTTTAAAGTTCAAATCACATTTAATCAATTAAAAGACAATTTCCATGCATGATACACCAGTATGAATCTTACATTACTGTCTGATACTTGTGCTGGGTCAATAATATGGGAAAAATATACCTTAAGAACTGATAAATGCAATTAAATTTATTTCAACTCATAAGTTTTCAAAATACCAAAATAAGATACAAAAGCAATCTGAAATAGAAAACATTTGTTTAAGGTATTTTTTAGTATGATGGAAAGCCTTTAGTACTTTTCCCTTGGAGTATTTTTGCCATCTGTAAAGAAATGAGAAAGAGTTTATTTTAACTTAAAGGTTCCTATCCCTTTTATGGATTTCTTTCAATTTTACTGTAGGTCCCCCCTCTGCCCCCTGCCTTTTCACATATTGGTAGAGTCAACTAGGAAAGTCCGTATGTTGATGTTGATTGTCAACACCTCATCTGGTGCTATTGGCTGGAACATCTCAATGTAGCTGCTTCATATGACTGCTTGGTTTTCTCAGAGGACATAAAATCAAGATAGGGAAAAGGCATTTTTGTGGAGGTTCTGGTCAAGGTGGTAGAGTAGGTGGGCACTGCACTCACCTCCTCACATGACCACATCAAAATTACAACTAAGTTATAAAACAATTAACCTAGATAACCATTTGAAGACTAGCTGAACAGAAGTCCTACAACTAAGGATATAGAGAAGCTATGCTGGGATTGGTAGGAGGGGTAGAGAAATGAAACAGGCTGATCCCCACACCCGTGAGTGGTGCTTGATAATCTGGAAGGATATTTTAGCTGCACCGGTTCCCCCTGAGGACTGAGGGGTCTTGGCCCCACGCTGGGTTCCTGAGCCCAGAACACCAGTGCCAGGAAGAGAAGCCCACATAATACCTATCTATGAAAATCAGTGGGAATTCCATCTGTCCAGATCAGAGGGAATGGTGCTGGAAATCCAGGCATCCTCTTAGAGGGCTAGTGCACAGACTCTCCCTTGTAGGCACTCAGCTCAGGCTCTGGCAAAGGGACTGCAGCTTGGGAGACGGGGGAGTATACCAGAGATGAACACAGAGAAACTGAGTTTTATGGATTCTGGGTGAGAGCTGAAGGGACTCCTGCCATTATCCCTGTGTTCAGTCCTCTCACCATACAGCCAAGTCTGAATCTGCATTTGCCTGGTGAATTCCACTAGTTCCACCCTGACTATCTGAGACCCCACCTTATCACAAAGGTCTGCAGGCCACAGGTGAGTGGCAGCTGGCCTCTGTGTATCCTTAGACTTTTGGTGAGTGGCCTCAGGCCCAGAACCAGTGCCAAATCTGAATATGTTTTAATCTGGTGAATACCACCCATCCCTCCCATGAGCATCCAGACCCAGCACAGGCAGATCCCAATGGTGGATCACTCTGCAGCTCCTAACAGGCAACCCTGGCCAATCACAGGCAGTATCTGACATGATCTGCAATTGAGTCCCTCCCAAGAGGCCTCAGAACCAACACACCTATTGGCTAGCATCAGGACACAACAGAGCACCACCCGATTAGCTCCACAAGTAGCACACTGAAAAGGAAGTCTCAAGCAGGCACTAGATCCTGCTGGGGCAAATCCTGCTCCATGGGGTCAACCCCTGCACAGTAGCTCAATCCTCAAAGCCAGCTAGCCTGAGGTTTAATTCTACCCAATGACATGCCAACAGCAATCAGGGCTCAACTACACAAAAGGAGGGCACACATAACCCACAAAAGGGACACTCTTAAGCAATGGCTCAGGTGATCAGGGAGACTGCAACTGGGCCCCATAGGACACCTACTTCACAGGGCCATCCTGTCAAAACTGGGAGATGTAGTTTATCTACCCAGTACATAGAAACAAACACAGAAAGGCAGACAAAATGAAGAGACAAAGAAACATGTCATAAACAGCAGAAACATCCAGGAAAAAATACTAAATGAAATGAAGGGAAGCATTCTACTAGATACAGAGTTCAAAACACTGGTTATAATGATGATCAAGAACCTTAGGGGAAGAATAAATTCAGAGAGAACTTTAACGAAGTGATGGTAAGTGTAAAAAAAGACATAGAAACCATAACAAAGTAGTAGTGAGAAATGAAGACAACAACAGGAATCAACAGCAGATTAGATGAACCAGAGGGCTGAATCAGTAATTTGGTAGACAGGGTAGTAGAAAACACCCAATCAAAAATGGCAAAAAGAAAAAAAATGAGGACAACTTAGTTAGGGGCCTTTTGGGTTACACAAAGCATAACAACACTCACATCAGAGAAATATCGGAAGGAGGAGAGAGAGGGCAAGGGATTGAGAACCTATTTAAAGAAATGTCTCAAAACTTCCCTAACCTGGGATAGGAAAAAGACATAAAAGTAAGAAATGCAGAGAGTCCCAAACAAAATGAACCCAAAGAGGCCCACACCAAGACACATCATAATTAAAATACCAAAGGTTAAAGACAAAGAATCTTAAAAGCAGCAAGAGAAAAGCATTTAGTTACCTGTAAGGGAGCTCCCATAAGACTGTCAGCTGATTTCTCAGTAGAAACTTTTCAGGCCAGAAGGGACTGGCATGAAATATTCAAAGTGATGAAAATGAATAGCAAGGACCTAAACAAGGCTATCATTTAAAATTGAAGGAGAGAAAGAGCTTCCCGGATAAGCAAAAGCTAAAGGAGTTCATTACCACCCAACCAGTATTACAAGAAATGATAAAGGGGCTTCTTTAAGAAGAAGAAAAAGAAAAAAAATGGAACATAAATATAAATAATAAAATGGCAGTAACTACATATCTATTAACAGTCACTTGAAGAGACCTACTTCAGATTTAAAGGCACATAAAGTGGATGAAAGACACATAAGAAGATTAAAAAATATATTTCATGGAAATGGCAATGAAAAAAAAAGCTGGTGTAGCAATGCTTACATTTGACAAAATAGACTTTAAAACAAAGGCCATAATAAGAGACAAAGAAGAACATTAATAATGATAAAGGGATCAACCCAATAAGTGGATATAACTCTTGTAAACATTTATACTACTCTCAACACAGGAGAACCTAAATATATAAAGCAAATACTGATGGACATACAGGGAGAGACTGACATTAATATAGTTATAACAGGGGGCTTGAACACCCTGTTGACATCACTGGATGGATCGTCCAGAGAAAATCAACAAGGAAACAGTGGTGTTAAATAACACATCAGACCAAATGAAGTTAATTGATATTTTTTAGAGTGTTTCACCCCAAAACAGCATAATATCCATTCTTTTCAAGTGCACATGAAACATTTTCCAGGAAAAACTACATGTGAAGCCATAAAACAAGTCTCAATAAATTTAGGAAGACTGAAATAGTATCAAGTATCTTCCCTGACCACAATAGTATGAAACTAAAAATCAATTACAGGGAACAAAACCTGAAAAACACACAAACACGTGGGGGCTAAATAACATGTTACTAAAAAATGAATGGGTTAACAGTAAGATCAAGGAAGAAATCAAAAGATACCTTGAGACAAATGAAAATGAAAACAACACAGCTCCAAATTTATAGGACACAGTAAAAGCAGTCCTAAAGAAAAATTCATACCAATACAGGCTTACCTCAAAAAATAAGAAAAAAACTCAAATGAACAATCTAACCTTACACCTAAAGGAACTAGAAAAAGAACAACAAACAAAGCCCAAAGTGAGTAGAAGGAAGAAAATAAACATCAGAGCAGATAATAAAATAGAATCTAAAAAAAGAATACAAAAGATCAATAAAACCAAGAGCTGGTTCTTTGAAAAGATAAACAAGATTGATAAACCTTTACGCAGACTCATCAAGAAAGAGAGGACCCAAACAAATAAAACTAGAAATAAAGAGAAGTGAAAACTGACACCACAGAAAAAAAGGATTATAAGAAAACATTACACACCTTCTTCTCTCTTTCTTGGTGCTGTGTATGGAGGTGGCAGCTATCTCCTACTTGGCATCATGGCTAACCTCAAACCCCTCATGAAACTCCAAACTGTCAAAAAGAGGACCAAGTTCGCCTGGCACTAGTCATATCTATATGTCAAAATTAGGCAGGACTGGTGGGAACCCAGAGGCATTGACAACAGGGTATGCAGAAGACTAAAGGGCCAGATCATGATGCCCAACAGGGTTATAGGAGGAAGAGGAAAACAAAGCACATGCTTCCCAGTGGCTTTCTGAAGTTCCTGGTCCACAATATCAAGGAGCCTGAAGTGCTGCTGATATATAACAAATCTTATTGTGCTGATATTGCTCATGATATCTCCTTAAAAAAGCAAAAAGCCATTGTAGAAAGAGCAGCCTGGCTGGCCATCAGAGTCGACAATCCCAATACCAGGTTGTGCTGTGAAGAAAATGAATAGAGAGATTGTGTACACATTGTATTTGCGTTAATACATACATAAAATTCTGCTCTGCTCTGGACAAATGGTTCAGTTATTTAGTGCGTTGTCATGTACATCAAAAGGCTGTGGGTTTGATTCCTGGTCAGGGCACATACAGAGGGTAATTGATCAATATTTCTCTCTCACATTTCTCTCTAAAATCAATAAACACATCTTCAAGTGAGAATTTTAAAAAAACACCATAAAATTCTGCCAAAATATTACTACAATTATATGCTGATAAATTGAACAGCCTGAAAGAAATGGATAAATTCTTAAAAACATATATAATCTTCCAAGACTGAATCAAGGAGAAAAAGAAAACCTGAAGACCCATTACTACCAACAAAACCAAAATAAGCAATCAACAGATT